AAGCGTGCATGCTTGGCCATAATACAGTGTCAACAACGCGCATACACTGTAGATGATTCTCTCATCTACACAGATGCATTTTACTTTTTGCAAATGATTCATTATTATAAGGAAAAATATATAAACACGAGGGAAATCGTTGTGGTGTCCATGACGATGGGAAAAATAGGCCTAAAGCTGACACATTTACTCAAATTATTATATGCATGTTTAACCGAAGCTAATTTGGGTGGGTTTGTCCCATCCCAAATGTCCCTTCTCTTTCTTTTACGGCCCTGGCGAGAACATCGATTTCCTTGGCTGTGAACCGATGCTGAAGCGCGCCGGTAAACGCATGTTATTGTTATGGGGATGGAAGGAGAACCCAAGCGCAGACAGAATGCTAGACACACAATTTATTTAAGAACAAACAGGCAAAACAAAAACCCACGAGGGGGCAAAACAGAGACAATACAAACGAGGGATAACTAAACTAGATAACACTTGACAAAAAACTAGACTATTAACAAACAGCAAATACAAGACGTTCTTCTGAGACAAGGTACTCACAGGTAAACTCTCACAAAATGACAGTTTTACAATGAACCGGCACAGGACAGCCAACACAAGGGGTTTATAAAGGGAGAAACTAATGAGGGGAACAGGTGACACAGACTAGGTAATAATGACAAGAGGATAACAAGGGGGTGGGGTCTTAAACGAGACAACACAAGCACATGGCCCAAACAGGCCATGCGCTTGCACATAAAACAGGATTCTGTCATGATCCTGCCTCACGACTAGAGAAAGTCAAGAACAAGAGGGCAGAATCATGACAGAACCCCCACCTTAAGTCCCTTATGTCAAAGGGACATTAAACACGGGACATGACAGACTGTGACAAAGACACAAACCAACAATACATGACAAAAACTAACAAAGGCATACAAGCAAAAACAATAACAGGGTTGGGGTGGAACAATAAAAACAGTAAATATAGAAGAGGAGGTGGAGGAATCACAAAGTTCACAGGGGGTGGTCCAGGGTGGATGGGAGTGCTGGGGGTCTTAGGTCCACGAGATGAGGGCTGGGAACGAGGAATCCGGGCAGGCTTGGAGGGGAAGACACGAGGAGGGGACTTGGGCGAAACAGTACGGGGTTTTGAGGGGACAGGGGACACAGTCCGGGGACTAGTGGAGACAGGGGCAACCGGGAAAACAAACTGGGGTACTGCATTAGTAGCAGCAGCATCAGACTCAGAGGACACAGAGGATGGAGAAACGGGACTCCTGACGGGGGACATAACAGGCGAAAGGGCAGGACTGGGTGCCGCGCTCTCAGCGGCAGATACGGGTGCAACGCTCACAGGGACAGGATTGGACAGTGCTCACAGGGACAGGATCAAGTGCGGCGCTCACAGTGGTAGGCTTGGGAATAGAGCTCACAGACACAGTGGGCACAGGAAAAGACATGACGGGCACATTGAGGATCTTGACAAGCTTGGCAAGGTATTCTCCTAGAGTCTCGGCAGCAACAATGATAGGCATCCTCTTACGAGCAGACACCGCTTACAGGACTGCTTCTGCAGCTTGATCAGCCGCAGCTCTCACAGAGGCAGAATCTGTAACCGGGCAACCAGCTGCTGACTCAGGAACAGCACTGGCAGTAGCGGGCTCTGGGACGGCGCCTGCTGGAGCGGGCTCTGGGGGAGACAGAGACAGAGGACAAGAGGCTCCCTTCCTCCTCTTCTTCTTCCTGGGTCGCGGAGCAGAGGACAAAGCCGGGCTATTGACCAGTTGAAGAAGCACAGCAGGGACTGCCGTCTCAACGGAAGAGGACTCCGAAGAAGAGTGCCATGAGAACCGTCTCCCTTGTTTACCATGGAGTTTTGCGGGTGCAGATGACGTCTCAGGAGTTGAAGTGGATTGAGCCTGGTTCCCCTGCATAACAACGCAGACTAGGTAATAATGACAGGAGGATAACAAGGGGGCGGGGTCTTAAACGAGACAACTCAAGCACATGCCATGCGCTTGCATATAAAACATGATTCTGTCATGATCCTGCCTCACGACTAGAGAAAGTCAAGAACAAGAGGGCAGAATTCTCTTAAGAATTCTCTCTCCCGCTCACGAGCGCTCACTCTTAACAGACACACTGTCCCCGGTGCTGCTCGCACGTCACAGAATGTTCATAAAGCGCTCCCCGTTTATAAAGCGCTCCTCGTTCACAGTAACCGGGTCGTCTCATTCAAATCAGCCAGCTGTTGCTGTCAGCGAGCCGCGCACATTGAATACTCATATGAGTCAGGCTGCGAATGTAAGTTACGTGCCCGCTCCAGCGCGCTCATGCTTCCTAAATACTACATTCCCTTTAGCCTTAGCACATAGTGGATGCATAACGCAAACCCAGTCAAACGTTTGACTACAGTAACTTATGCGCTTTATAATCCGGTGCGCCCTATATGAAAAATTTTCTAAATAGATCATTCATTGAAGGGGCGTAATATAAATATTTATATTCGCCTGTATTGTTGTTATGGACCACGATTACGCTTTGCCTGCACGTTCTGCTGCTACAGCCAGCTCATTAGCTAAAGCTCAAACGTACGGGTGAAAAATATGACCCGAGAAGGGTTTGGGACAGGAGAAGCATGACACAGGTAAACATTGGGGTTGCATTTAAAGCTTCTTGACAAGCTAAATCTACAGAGAGATGCCGTATATTTTGTGAAACGATGATGTCATGTCATGAGCTGAGCTGGTTGTCATTGACAGCGACAACAACTCCCGTGAGCCCACGCTCTTTCCCGACGTCCTCAAAGTACGTCTTTTGTTATTTTAAATGAGTGACCCCTGGTGGCCAAAAATTGCATACTGTACGTTTAACCTTCCTCCTAATTTTATATTAAATTACTTTATAAAAGGTAATTCCATCTTTTGCTTAGTTACAAGTTATGGATCTGAACTTTGCTCACTTAGACAACTTCGGACAATGCTTTTTCTTATGTTTCAGTAGAGCAGATGAATAACTATAACTCTTCCCACATGAAGAGCACTGGTACAGTTTCTTTCCAGAATGAACCCTCTCGTGAGCTTTCATGTGTCCTGACTGAGTGAAACTCTTTCCACAGTGTGAACACTTGTACGGCTTCTCTCCAGTATGAACTCTCTGGTGTGTTTTTAAGTCGAAGGATGAAGTGAAGGTCTTTCCACAGTGAGAGCACACATACGGTCTCACACCAGTATGAAGACGCTCATGCTGTTTTAAAGATATAAGATGTGAAAAACTCTTTCCACAAACTGAACAAAAGTGAGACTTCACAGCAGAATGAACATTGAGGTGTCCTTTTAAGCCTGATTCAAAAACAAATGTTTTATCACACTGATCACAGCTGAATGATCTCACTCCAGAGTGACGGCGCAGATGATCATTGAGAGAGCCTTTCTGAGTGAAACTCTTTCCACACTGAGTGCATGTGAATGGTTTTTCTCCAGTGTGAATTCTCATGTGTAGACTAAGATTTCCTTTATGAATGTAACTCTTTCCACACTGAGTGCATGTGAAAGATCTTTTGACTTCAGATTTTCCAGCTTGTTTTTGTGTGAAATTCTCTTCATTCTTTGAAATGACTGTGTGTTCATCTTCATTTTTGAAGTGATGAGGTTTTTGTAACAGATGTTTGTCTTCATTTTTATATGTCAGTTTTCCTTGTTCATTTGTGAAATGATGGTGTTTGTCCTCATTCACTTCCATCCGGTCTGAAACCAACAAAAATTAAATTTAAAAAAAGGACAAATGAGAAACAAAGAAATAAAGTTCTATCTTAATCAATATCTTAATTTAATGGTTAATTTAATTTAGATGTATAGTTATTAGTGGTGGGCATAGATTAATTTTTTTTATCTAGATTAATGTCACTGTAATCTTGGAATTAATCTAGATTAAAATGGCTCATTTGAATTCTGCCAAAGGCATTCAGAATATGTGTGCTACCCAAATAAATGACCTGCAGATGGTTTGTATGATGGGCAGGGGCGGAGCTAGACTCTCAGTAAAATGGGGGCGGAGCATCAACATGGGGCCCTCTGTTACCAAGTCATTTTAAAATTAAACGTTAAAAAAACGTAAAATATCTGATGAATGCATATGTAATAATGTGTCACTTGTTCAGCCAAGTAAGCTTATATTAAATACAACAAAAAGCCTATCTCGTTCTTTTCCTTTTAATGCGCCCGATTTATATTTTCTCTCCATTTTTGTAACTATTCTCTACATTATACATTCACCTCACACCACCCACTGTACTCCTGAGGCAAGGACGAGCAAGGACGACCACAAGACGAGCTCCAGTTCACGCGCCGGCACCTCCATGTCGTGATTATCAGCTATATTTACTAAGTCCAAGCATTGCTTTATGAAATGATCAAAATTAAGATACAATTAATACAAAAAGAAATTCACCACAATGAAAGGCTTTGTACTTTATTTTTGATGCGAAAGTTTTAAAGCAGTGTTTCAGTGCCGCTTTCAGAGTGGTCAAGTCCGTAACGGGGAACTGTCACATAACATTGTTTTTCCCTCATAAATGCGTACATGAAAAATAAGACAAAATGAATATTTTATGTTCTGTGGAGAGCCAACCCTTCTTTATCCGGTGGGTAGTATTACTTTTTGTACGTTTGCCACCTAAAAGTACATTTTTTGTCACATCCGTTACGTATTTACGTTACGTTGTATATTAAATATAAAACGCATAGTCTAATACAGGAGTCCAGATATTAGAAAAATATTAAAGGAGTATGGATAAACAGATGTTTCAATATATTGGTATTAAATGCCTCTTACAGTGCAATTCGTCTAGGTATATATCTGCGCTAAAATATCAAGGTGAAAGTCATCGTTGTCACCCAACTTTGAGAGTAGATTAACGATGATATTATTTTTATCGCGATAACAGCCCACCACTAATAGTTATACATCAGTTTTCATCCAAATTAAAGAGATTTAAGGAAAACACCAACCTATTTGTTCCTCTGTATCTTCATCTTTTATTCTACAGGGTTCTTCCTTAATCTCCATCTTTACAATAGTATGTCTGTAGTTTCTCCTGGAGTAATTCCTCCTGCTTGCTTCTTCTCCTGTGGGAAGATGGGAATATTCCCCAGCATTTATTTAAACTCATGAATGGCCGTAGGAGCTTCACTGACTAAAGGAGTGAATTGTGTTCATTATTGCTCATTTAGCAGATGATCATCACACTTACAATCACTCGAGATTATTCAGCTCAAAGTTTCCGCTAGAAAAAAAACAGTGCTGGTCAAAGTGACCGAGAGAGTTATCTCCACTTAATTAGTTAAGTTGAGGAAAACTGTAGGCAGATATGTAACTAAAAAAATGACACAATCAGGCCGTATAGAATGCAACATTTTTATAAGCCTAACTTTCAAATAGACAGAAAAAAACATGAACGTCCCATTGGAGTTAATCAACGCCAATTGTTTTTACTATGATTTCACATTCATAGACATTCACACACATAAAATATCTCAATAGTAGCCTATTGTTTTTAATCAATTGAACTTAATTATACACTCTCAGTATGTCTCATTTAGCTGGTCACATTTAAATTGGCCACCATGAAATGAATCCTAGTCAAATGAACTGGAACAAACAAATAACTAGGCCTATAACATTGTCTCACTGCTCGCATCATTTTAGGCTACTTTTTACGCTGTTTTGCAGAGCTGAATTGTGCAGCTGCCGACTAAAAATCAAAACTTCCCAGTGTCTCTCCACAACTTGCAATGCGCATAAGCCACGTAAGGGCCTGTTCACGTTTCGCGTCTTTTGCATGCTCAAATTTATTATTTTAAATGTAGGTGTGTGGTAGGCCCGCTAATAATGGAAGCGACACACTCTTTTTTTCCAAACGCATTCGCGCTGCATTGAGATAAAAACATCTCGGTGTGGATTGAGGTAGGGCTGCTATTTTTATTTAAAGAAAAAATCTAACGGAAAAAAAAAATGCCAGTTTTTGAAAGCTTCGTTCAAACGGATTCAGTGTTTTTTTTTTTTTTTTTGTCATCTTAATTTGTTAATTATTTAAGTAAAACATATTTAGTGTTGGCCAATTTTATGTCTTTATTTGTATTATTTTATTCAGTTTTTCTCAGTTGTCACTGTCAGAAATGCTGCAGCTGCGTGAAAATTTTATCTGAACCCAGGTTCTGTTGATCTGTTCTGTATGTTGCTGTTTGGACTTTGCACGTTAAAATAAACCCTTTGATAAATAAAAAAAAGTTTGTATTTTTAACGGGTCACAAATACGCATCAATTTTATTTTTATGCCAATTCAATATTGTAATCTTCATGCAGTTAACGCTTAATAATCGATTAACGAGCGGTGGTTTTACAGTCGAATAAATTAACCGAAATGAGCATACAGGATACATTTAGTTGAAATCAAAATATGAGGACTTCGCAGGCTGTAGAGAAATGCAATCCTCCATAGGAGCGCTGTCACTGCGAGGCCATCACGTCGCAGGCTTTTACGGCATCGGTAAGAGGAGGGGTGTCCGCAGACTCAATGCTTGTGATCGGTCGGTGTATATTAGATTTATACATTTTGGTTTATTCTCAAATTTCGACTGTGTTAGATTAGGCCATTTTTATCGGACAATTTGACCGGAGAAATTTGATTTTGTTGGACATTTATTTTTTTCCCCGGCCAATGTCCAGTAATAGACGAATCCGACGAGCGTTCTTGTGTAAGCTGCCATCTTGTGGCGACGCCATTACTGAGCTGTTACACCGGCATAGACATATGCACCAGTATGTAAACAAACCTCGGAGATAAGGTGATAACGCACCCTTGATGACAGCTACAGCCAGGCAGACTTGTTGGGTTGATGATGTTAGACATTGGCCTCCAGTCACAGATGAAGGTACAAACGATCTTACAGATTATTTATGAAAATAGCTTGGCAAGCAAGCTAGGCTAACGTTTGCTACCGAGGAAACTAAAAAAAGATCTGTCCATTTGGCAACAATAAATAAATAAATAAATGAAATCAAATAAACAATTTCATGTTTTTCATTTGTGTCCATTATTTATCTCATTTTTACATTGCAACGGGCAAGGGTAAGGTAACGTTACAGCTAGAAAGTATACATAATATCGACCAACTACTGTTTTTAAACCATGGAAAGAAGTCAATATAACAGCAGGAGAACAATTATGTCACATAACGTTACATTCAGCTCAGGAAAGCCATTTAATGACCATAGCATGTAAATTGAATAGAAAAAATAACAAGAGAGGAGATTTTGCTGATCACTATATCACACATTTATTATATTTTTTTTTACTTATGTCATTAAATAATTGTTATTATACGCGAATGTCCGCGTCTTGTACTCGCCCAGGAAATCTGTGTAAACCGTACGGCACCAGACAGTGGCAGTCGACCCGGGGTATTCACAATGTTTTCTCTTCAAAATTGAAATTTTACTGCCACCATTAAAACAATTTATAACGGAAACTGTTTACCCACTCGACATTATACAAGGGCTAACGTTGTAACGTTAGTGACAGTCGTAAATCGCGAGCTGTTTATTCCAGTGGACGCAAGTTGCAACTAAAACAATAGAAGGCAATGGCGCAACGCTACCCAGCAACAGCTCAGTAATGGCGCCCGCTTACTTCCGGTAGTTTCGCCGGATTCGTCTATAACCGGACAAAACCCAAAAGTTAGCAACTCTGCTCTTATTGTGTGCATTTATAAAGAACAATGCAACTAATAAAAATTATAACAGAGGTATGTGTGTTGAACACCATTGAAGACAATGTTAGCATCTGTTAGATTTAATAATAAGGTTAAAATGGTTAAATTTGAGTTTTTTTTCCGCTTTTTTCGTCTTCCGGGTTTAAAATCTTCATTGTAGCGGGTGACGTGGCAGTGCACTGCACAGTGCGTTGATGACTCATCACTGTTATCCTATGAGAAGACACGGCCTCTTAATTATTCATGACACCACATGGATCTTTCCAACGACAGACATGACAAACTGTGATATCGCGTAGTAACGTTAGATGAGAGAGGCAATCATGGGACGCAAACTATTTGTTTTCATGGTGCAAAGTCCAAGTGCGTTAAATATGTTCCCCGCGATGCTGCCAGGGCTAGACTCTGGCTCTGGACGGTTGGTTTGCCATCAAACACTGACACGGCTAAACCTGATCCAAACTATAGCAAAGAACGTATATTGACAAGAAGTGAAAGCCAATAGAACGTTCCATTGCAACACCAGTGCCCAGCAGCAGCCCTACGCTTCCGTCATTTCGGGGTGAAAGCGACTCGGCAGTCATATAATATATTTAGTCCAGTGCAGAGATCATTTTTAGGTTGAAATAATTAGGCTAGGTGATTATTTAACTCACAACAGTTAACTTATAGCAGTTAAAAAAAGAAGTTGCTACTTAACCGGGCTTTAACCCTCACATAACTTGAGACAGGGAAGTTTGAGGATTTAATTCATTATATTACTCTCCACATTAAAGGGTTAGTTCACCCAAAAATGAAAATTAAGTCATTAATTACTCACCCCCATGCTGTACCAACCCCGTAAGACCTTCGTTCGTCTTCGGAACACAATAAAGATATTTTTGATTAAATTTGAGAGCTGTATAACTACCACATTGGCTCCTAAAGGACTGCCTCTTGACGGCCCAGAAAGTCAATGAAGAAAATGTTTAAATATCCCAAGTGACTACCGTGGCTCAACTATATGTTTTTCAAGCGACGCGAATAGTTTTTGTGCGAAAAAACAAACAAAAATAACGAGTTTATTCGACTATTTCTTTTCTTCCTTGTAGGCCAGAACGAGACTTCCTTAGATTTCCACGACGCATGCGCGAGATTTGCGATCTGCTCACATCAGCTTACACCACTTCAGATCGCAATTCTCGCGCATGCGTTGTGGAAATCTAAGGAAGTCTCGTTCTGGCCTACAAGGAAGAAAAGAAATAGTCGAATAAACTCGTTATTTTTGTTTGTTTTTTCGCACAAAAACTATTCGCGTCGCTTGAAAAACATATAGTTGAGCCACGGTAGTCACTTGGGATATTTAAACATTTTCTTCATTGACTTTCTGGGCCGTCAAGAGGCAGTCCTTTAGGAGCCAATGTGGTAGTTATACAGCTCTCAAATTTAATCAAAAATATCTTTATTTGTGTTCCGAAGACGAACGAAGGTCTTACGGGGTTGGTACAGCATGGGGGTGAGTAATTAATGACTTAATTTTCATTTTTGGGTGAACTAACCCTTTAAGTGTGATAGGTAAGAATAAAGTGATATCAGTTCATAAAGTTATAATAACATAGACCGTTTCCCTGGAGGTACACATAACGTTACTTACAAAAATAAGTTATCAATGAAACAAATTAATTCAGCAAATAAATGTTGTACTAAAATGTAAATGTTTGACAATAAATATATAACAGCAATAGAATAGCTTTACAGTAAACAGTTTTTTTTTTTGCAGTACTATCCTATCTTATATTAATGAAGACCATGTAAACAAAAAAAAAAAACAAAAAACCAGCCAATGTCCAATGTGGCAATTAGTTATAGGATAACGGACACAGCGCATCAATGATCATCATGTTTGTAGCATGACCCAGGGGATTAAAACGTCCAAAATATATTTCAGGCCTAGTGGAGTTGGTAACTAATAATAGTAGAAAAAGTGTAAAGTTGCATACAATGGAAATACTCACTAATGCAAGAAAAAACTACCTCAAAAACTGTTATCTGTGCAGTTGTCCAGTAACTCTAGTTGGAATTTTCACCCCGATATGGCTGCCGCGCTACCGAAGCGCCATCTAGTGGCTGTTACCAAAAAAGCATCAGAGTTTCGCCTCTTGTCCTTCTGTGCCGCGAACATTTTCGCAAGAGAGCTGCGACAAGTGGAGAATGATGGACTTCGCCTTGTTGACAACTAATGCAAGTTGCGTCTTGCGAGTGATGCGGTATCCCGAGGACTTTCTATCCCTTCAGAGGTGTGTGTGTGTGTGTGTGCGTGCGTGTGTGTGTGTGTGTCGGTGTGTGTGTAAAATGAGAAGTCATTTATTATGAGGGTTCAGAGGGCGCGTAGACTATGCACTTTC